TTGTGCTCAGATCCAGGTACTGTGGGGGCACAGGCAGTCCCTGCCCCCAAGGGGACTGGCTCCCCGTTCCCCTCCTGGCCTGGCCATGTGGGGGAGGCAAGGGGGAAGCTGGCCGCTCACGGCTGCTGGGAGATCTCTTGCCACCTGTCCGGCTCGGGGTGGAGCAGTTCTCCCAGACCCAGCCTGCCACGACTGAGCCGAGCCGGGCGGGGCGGGGCGGCAAAGGGACAGACGGCAGTGCCCGCACCCCCCGCAGGTCTGCGCAGCGCCCGGTGCCAGGGGTGGGGGAGACCCGGGAGGGGAGTGCGTGCAAGGGCGGGGACCGGTGGGGCACCTCTCCCCGGCCCCTCCTGCTCGCCGAGACCCCAGGGGGATGGGTCCGGCCCTGGGCTGCACAGGTGCCAGGGGGCCGGGCCGGGACGCGCTTACCTGCCCCGGCGCCGGGCCGCGGAGGGGATGATGCGGTGCGGGCCGCGGGCATCGCTCCCCTCTCCCCGCGCAGGACCCAGCCGGCCCCCGCCGTATTTACCTGCGCGCCGCGCTCCGCCCGGTGCTGGCTCCGCCCCGCGGCCGGCCGGCAGGGCCCGGATCAGGCTGCGCCCGGGCATCGCGCCGCGGGCTCGGCTCCGCACAGGGCTGGTTCTGCAGCCTCGCTGCGGCTGCCCCCGGGGACCGCGCCCTGACCCGCCCCCCGCCTGGACCAGGGCGGGGTCTCTTCCCTGCGCGCCCGTCCCCGCGGTATCAGAGCTTCCCACGCAGGGGCCTTTCTCCAGCGCCCCTGGGACTCAGAGACAAAGGCCAACCTTTGCAAAAGCGTCCGCTGAGCCCTCGAGCTGCGCTCGCTCGCTGGCCCTCTGGGCAACGAGGCTGACCACATGCCCCGATTTGATAGGGACAGTCCCGAGTTGGGGGTCTTTTTCTTATAGAGGCTCCTATTACCCCCACCCCAATTTTTCACACTTGCTGTCTGGTCACCCTCTGGGCAACCCTGGGTGTGAATCCGTCCTTCGCAGCACGGCTTGTGCGGAACATGGCACTTTCCAACAAGGAAGGCCAGTGCCTGCCCCACGGACAGACACACGAGGGGGAGTTAAAGAAAGTCTGGGAGCGAGACAAGGCTCGAAGTGGTTCCACTCGGCCCAGCTCTGTTACCTGCACCAGGAGACCCACCTGGCTCCCACTGCTGCCTCATTCACTACACACCTGAGCCTCTGTCTTAGGCCGGTGAGGGCTGATGACCCCTCCCGCTCCCTCCAATTGTCACAACCCCCCCCACCCCTTTACATTGAGTAGAAAAGTAAGAGTAAAAATGGATCAATGCCAACAGTGATCAGCCTATAGAACTGATGGGGGGTGGGTGCTTGGAGAGGTAGATAAAGTACTCGACCTTAAAGAGGGAGGGGGTGCAGGGAGTGAGATTTTGTTTGCTTCAGCCAGCAATAAAGTTTTCAGCACCTCCAACTCCCCCAATTGCTTTTTGTGATCCCCTTGGGGGTCGTGACCCACTGGCTGAGAAATTCTCTCTGAATGCTGATGTGAGGCAACAGCCTCACAACCTTAAGCAAATACTCACCAGCAACCGCACACCATACAACAAAAACACTAACCCAGGAACCTATCCTTGCAACAAAGCCCGATGCCAGCTCTGTCCACATATCTATTCAAGTGACACCATCATAGGACCTAATCACATCAGCCACACCATCAGGGGCTCGTTCACCTGCACATCTACCAACGTGATATATGCCATCATGTGCCAGCAATGCCCCTCTGCCATGTACATTGGCCAACCTGGACAGTCTCTACCCAAAAGAATAAATGGACACAAATCTGACATCAGGAATCATAACATTCAAAAACCAGTGGGAGAACAAGTCAACCTCTCTAATCACTCAGTGACAGACTTGAAGGTGTCAGTTTTGCAACAAAAAAACTTAAAAAACAGACTCCAAAGAGAGACTGCTGAACTTGAATTAATATGCAAATTAGACACAATTAACTTAGGTCTAAACAGAGACTGGGAATGGTTGGGTCATTACACTAATTGAATTTTTTTTCCCCCATGTTAAGTTCTCCTCACACCTTCTATGGGTCATCTCGATTATCACTTCAAAGTTTTTTCTTCTGCTGCTACTGATAGCTCACCTCAATTGATTGGCCTCTTACAATTGGTATGCGTACTTCCACCTTTTCATGTTCTCTGTATGTATAAATATCTTCTGTCTGTGTGTTTCACTCTATGCATCTGAAGAAGTGAGCTGTAGCCTACGAAAGCTTATGCTGAAATAAATTTGTTAGTCTCTAAGCTGCCACAAGTACTCCTGTTCTTTTTGCGGATACAGACTAACACGGCTGCTACTTTGAAACCTTCTGAATAGTGCCTAAGTGACTTAGGAATGGAACTTAGGCTTCTGTGTATCTAAAAACCCTAGACTTCTAAATAATGTAATAGTTTTGGGAAATTCTACCCTTGATCTTTTTCTGCAGCAAGAGGCAGCGGTCGGATAAATCCTTTCAGAAGTTTAAGACTTCCTTTAACTTGGGTCCAAGTGACTAATGACTCCTACAACTACATAGGCACAAAGAGGCAGACATCCCGCAGGCTGGGGCATGAACCAGCTCCTGGAAGGTGTCAGTCACACAGCTATTAGCATGTTCACAGCAAAGCACAGTGGTCCCTCCTGGAGGCAGCAATGTCCCTTTCACACACACACACATGCGGAATCCCTTTTACTTCAGAGACACTCCATGCTGTGGGCAAGGGCTGCCCACATACTTCCCTCAACAGGACCGAGCCCTACCCCAGTTTGGTAATCCAGGAACTGACTTCCTTACTGAGGGCTCCAGCCTCACAACAATGGGGCACCATCCCCCCAGCTCAAGGGCTCCAGCCACATACCAAAGGGGCACCAGCCCTCCTTTCTCCCCCCCCCCAATTCAGCTTTAGGGGGAATTTTTGTTCCAGAAGCCTATTTCAACAATAAATGTCTTTACACTTGCGAGAGAAAAGGTGCCTCAAGTTTCGTTAAGAAAGGAACACATTTCAGAACCTGCTGTTAGCATTTTACTCTTCCTATCAGCATTTTAGTTACTGCTAGTAAAGGTTTAGAGCAGAAATTAAGACACTGGGTGATAGACCATTGGGACCTAAAGAGAGTTTCAAGCCATGGTACATTGCACTGGTGCAAACCTCATAATCAGTAGATGCTGGTCCCTTCCTCAGGGCATGGCTTCAAAAGGCTGGGGGGGTGGGAGAGGGTGGATTTGCATAACCAGAGGGTGAGGAGTGGTGGTTTGGATTCACTAGGCCCGGCCTATCCTGACAAACAGGGCAGAGAATGGAATAGTGGGAAATTAATTGGTGGGAAATTTTAAACAAGACAAAACTTTGCTAGATGGTCCAAACCATTCCTCAACTCTGAAAGAGATTCCTCAGTTAAAAAATACTGCTTCAGAAGGAAAGTGAAAGCTGTGATAAAAATAAAGCATATGGCAAATGGAAAACAGGCGAGATTTGCAGTAATGGCTATAAATGAGCGGTTATGAAATGTACACAAATGATAAGGAAAGCTAAAGGGAAGCTATCAGTGGGGAAAAAAGAAAAAAAAACACACACAACACACCACACATGGCCAGCAGGGTTAAAGACAGTGAGGAATTTTAATAATGTATCAGGAATAAAAGATATCCTACCATATAGGGATGGTAAAATTGTCAAGAATGATGCAGAAAAGGCTGAAGAGTTCACTACAACTTTCTGTTCTGTATTTGGAAGGAAGGTGTATGAGTAGTATAAGGGCCCTACAGTCAATCAAACCCTAACCCCGCTCCTTGACCCCCTTAAGCCCCTCCCCTTGGTCTCTTGGTCCCTCCCACCTGACACCGGAAGTCCCACCCCACGGGGTATTACTTCCGGGGTCAAGGTGCCACCTGACCAGAAGCAAGGTGTGTCATGTGACCCCTCTAAGAACTCCCCCCAGCACCCTCTACCAATCAGGAGGGGTTTCGTCCCGATAGGACCGCCCCGAGAGGAGATTTTGACCAATCAGGGTGACTTCTGGGTTGGGGTGACCCCTCCGGCAGTGAGTCGTGTGACCCCACTAAGAACTCCTCCCAAGGCCCTCCGCCAATCAGAGTGCAGCACCATTACCCCATAAGTCCCAGC